AAGCAATAACTTTGCAGAATAACAATGCCATTGAAATATGAGTCATCTGGATGACTGTTAATTTAACAAAATTAAACTCTCCAGTCACAAAGCAACACATGTTATGCCCACATGCTCAAATTCTGTATCATATAACCATTATTTTACTTGAACATTGACTGTCCTGTAAATATGATTCATGTCATCATTTTGTTTCCTGGAAACTATTTTTAATGCACAATTGAAAATCCTTCCACATGTTGTATTGTATTTAAGTCTCCAAAGCCATAACAATAACAGATGTCATTTGAAATGTTAGTAACTCTTGTTAAACTTTAACTACAGCGCGTCCATCCATCTTCGATACAACCTATTCACACTCTGGTTGCAAGTGTGCTGGATCTTATCCCAGTTGACTTTGGCCAAGAAGCAGGGTTCACTATGGACTGGTCACCAGCCAATCACAGACTCCAAAGCCAATTAATGGAATGTCTCCCTCACCTCCTCATATAGCACCCTGTTCTAATCACAAATTTAACTTGAGGTCAGAGAGAATGGGAGAGAGAGAGAGAGAGATTGAGCAAGAGTGTGAGAGTGATCCTTTATGAGTTTACATGGGGCAGGAGGTGTTGGCTGAGTGTTTCTTATGAAAACAGTGAGGAACTTGAAGTCATGGTTCTCTGAGACAAACTCCTGGCAGGCATACTAAAATGAAGCCCAAGTGGAAGGTGCCAAAACCTTTTGACACAATAATGTAATGGAGGAACCATTGAAAGATTGTTCAATGTTTTCACCAAACCATGCTGACTTCAAAAGACCTCAAGCCATAGACATGAACACAAATCCTTCAAAGGTCAGGAGCGAATGTATCCCAATAAAGTATTTGCAGAAGACTTCATGATAGGAATTTACCGTTTGGATTTTTATTGATCTGAATAAAGCATTTGATATTATGGATCATTGTGTGTTACTGAATACATTAGAGAGATATGTCATAAGAGGTGTAAGATAATCAAAATCTATATTTGCAGTTCAACAAAAAAATCAAATCAACTGGAGATCACTGCTGCGGTTTCTCAAGGCTTTGTGCATGTACATATGCTGTTGGCATATGTATAAGTGTAAATCCATTTGTATATTCAAGCAGGTTTATATGTTGACTTTGACTTTTTTCCTTTTCTTGTTGGGATATACGACATGAATGACCTATTATTGTATTAATATGAAACAAGTCAAAATACACAAAGAACAAACGGTGGGAGTGTGTGTGTATATATATATATATATATATA